CAGCAAATGATGATAAAAACCACCGACGTCACTTTTATTCCACTGTCCGCATTCTCATTTAGCTTTCCCGTGTAATTATAGTGCTCTTTGATGACATAGTTGACATCAGTGTTGGCGAGGCTGCTGACCACCTTCACGGGGGCGCTGGTGCCGGAGCTCATGGTGCCAGGCTGGGCGCCGCTTCCCCGCGGCCGCCGGACGGAGACGCCGAGCAGAAACCCGGGGCTGCCTGCAGCTCGCTGCTCCTGCACGCACTCAGAAACTGCAGCCCTGAGAACAGGAGGCACAGACAAAGCCCAGAGTTAAAATAAAATAAAAAGGTAAAGGAAACAATGCAACAAGCTTGAAATGGTTCGGGATAATCTGCTGATTGAATTGTGCACCAGTCACAAATGCAGTCGCACTGAATTAAGTTTTACTCGTCTGTTAAAACACACTTAAGAGGTGGTCAGGCATGTTAAACAGCTAAAGCCAGTGGGACAAAACGCAATTCTGTCACGCAGGGCTGCACAGGTAAAGCTGGGGTCGGCAGGGGCTGGCTTATTGCACTTCTTTAGGTGGGAACGCCGTCAGAGCTCCCCAGCAGTAAGCACCTGGATCTCTTCCGTGGGAAACACGCCACAGACACAACGGCAGAGATTGAGCGAATGAATCAGGCTTCATTTGGTTTAACTGCAAATGCACAGAAGCCTGCACAGAAAGTGCGTGACAGACCTGCATTCTCCTTCACTAGAAAGTGTTTGGGAGGGGGCCGGTAGCAATGCACCGATGCCATCCCAAGGAGCGGTGCAGGCAATTCACTGCCCTGGGAGAGAGCATCTCAAAGCTGTAAAGAGGAAAGGCGCCCTCGATAAATAAAAGTTAGAGCACGCTTCACAAAGCCTAGAGGAGTATTAGAAGTTTAGAAGAAGAAGAAAGAGACCTGAGTAAGTTACACAGCAAGCCCCTTCCCTGCGCCTGCAACAAAGGCGAGGCAGCCGGTACCTGGCAGCTGGCAACACCCGGCGCTGCGAGCTCCAGGACCTGGCCGTGCTGCCCGCAGGAGCCGCCCCAGCAGCCCAGCGGAGCTGCGAGGCCGGCAGCCCCCTGGCCGCAGCCCCCCGGCCGCCCCCCGACCCCCTCTCACCGTGCTCAGCCGCCCGCCTCCGCCCCCCGCATCTTGCGCTGCCGCCGAGCGACTCCGGCGGCCGTGCCCGGGGCCGCGCGGTTTTAACGCCGCCACCGCGGCCGCTCCCCCCCCCCGGTTTCCGACCGTCCCCTCCTAACTCCTCCCTGCCCGCCGCCGGGAGCCCGGCCCGGCCCCGCCGCCTCCCCGCCCCCTCGGCCGGGCCCCGGGTTCCTCCTCGCCCCTGGGCAGCCTCGGGCCCGGCCGCCCTCAGACGGCAGCGGCAGGGCTCGAGCTGTCCCGGGGGGGTGGGGGACGTGGCTCCGGGCACTCGCCACCCCAAACACCACCATGGAGTGGTGCTTCCATGTTAAGGAAAAAAAAGGAAAAAAAAAAAAGGAAAAACAACAAAAAAAAAATAAAACACAGGAGTCAGAGGGTGTTTAATAATAGGAAGAAAAGTTCTATTTATTTATTTATTTATTATCAGTGGCACCAGCGTCATTATATAGAAGCTACAAAAGAAGTTGTGGGTTTAGGTTTTATAATTCCTTCTTCAAAGAAACCCACCTCAGTGAACCCAAAAGGGTGATTCCTGATAACCCACAGCTGCTCTTGCTGCAGAAATGTTCCTCTTCCTTCCTTGCTCTGTTAACTCCACCTCAAATTGAAATGCAAAAGAATATCACAATAGGCCAGAGCTTAATACATTAGGTCTTTCAGTTCATAGCATCACACAATTCAATTAGCAGCAGCAGTTGTTATGGGGAGGCTGCTTTCCTCTGAAACACGGTAAGAGTAACACTACCCTCAGGAGGAGAGTCCTTATTTATGCTAATCGTCATGCTTCAATTGCTCCACGCCTCTCCCCGAATGACTCAGATAAATTACACTGGCAAACAGACATTGACTCTTCCACCACAAAGCTAGAAACTTGAAAAGATGTTTAGCCTCCTGAGAGCCCGGAGGAAAATACAGCCGTTAAATTACAACTGTCAGAAAAGGCATGCAAGATAAATCATGCTTGAGGTTGACATATGTATCCCCTGCAACTGCCTGACATACCCTAGATATTTCAAGCTTTCCCCCTTATTTAGCTAATCTATAGAAAATAGTAAATAAAAGTGCATTCATTAGGCATTTTCCTCTAGGAAATCATTCCCATATAATTTTAAGCAAGAGGAACATATTAAAAGAACGTGCTTTAATTAAAGGCTAGAATGACTCAGGGTTTCAGTAGTCAGATGTACCAGCTTTCATGTTTAGGTTATTGGTGAACCAACTGAGAGGGCTCCAACTCAAAGACGTGACACCCAACAAATTATTTGTCAGAGGTTGTGTAAAACGTCTGGGCAATTTCAGTTCCACTCCAAACAGCTGGCTATTTGCATCACAAAAAGTATTGTATTAGATGACCACACGCATTTATACCCATGTTGACATCTTACCAGTGAGGATACTGAAATTGTGCTTCGTCCTTCTCAGGCAAGTGAAGCCAGCCTGGCTGATTTTGCACTGAAGGCTGTTTAAAACCTTGGAAAATGTAGGTTAATTTGGCTCAGCTGCACAGATTGCAACCTCTTCACAAGGGCTGAATCACACAAACAGGTAAATTCAGGCTGTTCCAGCCAACTCTACCAAGAACACATGGATAAATGTTTAGTGAGAAGATTTACGCCAGGATTACGCTCCATCTCAATCAACAGAACAAAAATTCTTTTCTTACTTAGCACCCTCCTATCTGCCAGGTCCAGTGTTAAGGACACTTGCAGTTCCATGAAATACATGACAGAAATCCAGGGTACAACTCCTTTGAAAACTCTACTCTGTGATTGCCTAGTCAGAAAAAAGAGAAAGGACAACATGATGAATAACACATATATGCTCTTATATACTTGAGTTTTTAGGATAAGCAGGAATGCGTGCTGTAGTGTCTCACTGTGAGTAAATAATGTGAGTAAATCTCACATTATTGGCTGCCTGTGATGAGCAAAATTCTTGTTGAAATTCCAACCAGAACTTAGTGTTGTGGGCATTGCAGAAACCTGGCTAGTCGCAGGGCAACCGTAATGCGAGATCTCCCAGATAAGAAGCCTAAATTTTAGCTTTAGCATCTTAACTAAAATCATATAACAATCTGACGTGACTCAAACTGATTACTTTATGCCAATGAAACCAAAGAAAGCTGTACATGTACAAATCAATCAGTCCCACGAAAAAGCACTCAAATCCTTCACAAATTACAGAATTTGTGATAGAAGAGTTAGCATGACAACACCGACGTCTGGAGCAACACTGAGAATTTCAGAGTACTTTAGAAAGAGATCTTAAAAAAAAAAAAGAAAGTAAAGAATCTTAAAATAAAACTTTGTATCTGAAAAATCTCTCTCCAGCATAATTCCTGGTAACTCTTAGTTGAGCAAAAGGAAATTACGCTGTCTAGCAGGAAAATGCTTTGACCTTGTCAGAAAAAGAAGTTGGGAACCGGGGGACTCCCAAAGCCTGCATCAGTGGCCTCTGACACCAGCAGAAGGTAGTGCTCTCTTAGTGCCAGCACTGCTGGATTACTGACAATTGCAGCAGAGGAGTGTGAACATTAATCCATCACGAAAAGAGAAAAATCCCTGCAAGACAGATTTCCAAAGGATTTTTCTACAACACACTACCCTTATGCACCTTCAAAAATTTTAATCTATGCAAAACGTCCTTTTATTCACCCAGAGATAATTCAGGCCACAAAACAGAGGCATTCCTCCATAAAGTGCCTGACCCAGACAGGAGATCCTCAAAATCGTACCAACAGAATAGCTTGGCTCACCCAGAAAGTACAGAGCGGCCTGTAGAAACCCGCAAAATTCTCATGATTAGAAGTAAGGTAAAAATGTGAAAAGTAAGACATCACTCCAGATTCAGATTTTTGCTGTAGGCCTGGAACAGATTGTATTTTTGAGTAATTCTTTAAGATTTACACCACACAACTGAGAAAAGAAAGCAGTTCGTACTACGGAGCCTTGTGTTTGAATGCTCAGACTGTGGTTCCTACAAAATAACAGAACTAAATTATTAACTTTACCTGAAGGAAGGTGATGTGGCATAAATTTGTGCAAACAGAGTACTAAACCAAAGCATTTGTACCGTCTTTGATACCATGAAGCATGCTGGGTTAGAATTAGCTCCAGCATAACATTATACAATGTTTTGTTAAGCAGTACAGAAACAATCCTCTCAATTAGGACATTTACATCCTACCTTCAGCTCTACATGCTTTATCTGAAAGCCAGTTAACTTCTCAAAACTATCATATAATACACGGTTGACAGTATTTGCATAAAGCACAGATAGAAGCACCAAGTACTAATCATCTGTTTGTTTTCATTTGCTTGATTTCTTTTTGGTTTATTGTTTTTAAAGAATATTATAAATTTGTAAGCAAAATGAATCTTACTGTAATGGAAGACAGATGAATTCAGCTCCAAGGGATGTCAGGCTTCTCTTCACAGAAATCTAGGTACCTGGACACACACATAACTTACCGGTAGGATTTTCAAAAGGACAAATATATCTGCTTACTACAATCATTGTTAGTAACAGAACCAGTTATAAATGCACATTGGAGCCTGCTCCTATCTGTGCCTTTAAGTTAAATAATGCTTTACAAAATCTGTCAGGGAAAACAAAACAAAACAAAACAACAACAAAAAAAAAACAGCAACAACTGCTTTGTTCAAAAGGGTTAAAATGACACCTTAAATCAAATACATGCAGGTAACAGAAACTTAATTACAGTATTGTGAGATAGCTTAACCCATACTGGAAGAAAATGCCAGAAAGATTCGAGAAAGCTGAGAAAACACTTAAATTAGGCACTTTTGTATCGGTAAGAACACAACAAAGAAAAGTAATGAAATGATTTTATTAAATTGTTAACATGACATTACATACAAGCTATTGTTACTGCTTTTATTTATTTTTTTTAACTGATACTGATTGGGTACCCTGAGTACCCAGAAGAACAATCTATTCTTCAGTTTTAAATGAATTAAAGTTTCAATTGCATCACTTTTGAACTTTAGAACAATTTGGTTTTAAATTATCCTCTCCACAATGGATACGTTAGATGAATTAGTTTTCTGTGGCGTTCATTGTGTGACATTCATGGCGTTCAGATGTTCCGTATCTTCTTTCCTTACATTAAAATCAAAAGTCTGGTTTGGGGAAAAAAAAAAAAAAAAAAAAAAGAATAAAAACAGGCAATGAGAACATTGCAAAACCAGAAGCACACACGTGTTAAGTATTAGCATTCTATAATTTAGATGAACTGTTTTTATTCTGACTACATTGATACTGATCCGTTCTATATTAATTGAATGGACTTTTTAAAACTGCCATTGTAAAAAGTTTGATACATCCATTTTTGTAAGAATTTGTATTTTACTTCTAGATCAGAAAGTTGAATGTAACATTAGGTAACACTTAATTCCAAATGAAAAGACCTGAAGACGTTGAGAAAGTGCCATGTAGTTTCTTCATGGTTCTCACTGCACTCAAAGACCCTTCAACACCATATTATTGATTACCATAAAACCATAAGGCTCTAATGTATCTAATCATGATATATTTTCTTTCATATGTGTTAAAATATAGCAAAACTGGCAGAGTGGATGAAACTTATAATGCAGTTAGGAAACATTCTGAAAGTTATTTGTTCCAGTAATACAGGTAAATCAAGAAAAATCCTACTATACATTTTTTTCTAGGATTAACTGAAGATATTAATGAACATGATAATGTAACTTAACATTCTATTCTGAAGAAACAGAAATCCTAGCTGAAATATATGCAATTATTTGGCAGATTACAGATATTATTTATCTGTAGTATCTGGGGAAAAAAAAAAGCAGTAAAATAACCATTTCCAGAAAAGGAAAAAAGAAAAAAAAGCCACCTGTGACAATTTTCCAAATTGATCAGAGGTATTTGCATCTGACTTATAAGGCATTTGTGACAATCATGCAAAAATCTCCAAAATCACGTGACAAAAACAGATACTTCATTGGTATATTTTTACATATTACACATATTATAGAAGTATTATTAAATATTATAATATAAAAAAATGCATTAAGCACCAGGGAAATAAAGTTATACCACAGTATACACACAACCTTCACAGCTATGCGTCGGTTTAATCTTTCAGTAACTTTACACTGCATCCAAAGCAAGTGATTTACCGTAAATTCATCTCAGCAACACTCTACTTATGGATACTCCATGGGATGACTCCAGGAGACCCATTAGGGAAGAACGAGTTCCAAGAACAAACAAAAACAAAACAAAGCAATCTCCGCTGTTGTTACCGGGAAACAGTAATTATAACATCCCCCCTGCTCCCCCCCTGCAACTTCACAGCCAAGACATGAACTTAAGAGTAATTCATTATACTGGAGCTCTGAAGCCTCATATAGGGAGAGGCTCCTATAGTCTTGGAAATTTATTTTGCTGCAGAAGAAATAGAGTAATCATTAATAGGATGATATCCCTGCTAATGGACTCCGGAATTTCCTATTGGTAGGTCAGCTACAGAATGGGTCTCAAAGGGCTCTGGTATGCAAAGCCCTTTCTGAGATCATAAAAGATTCCTCTTGGGCACGATTATTGAGATCTGGCACAAATGGATCTGCACAAGGCAGGGCATCTCACAATATTGGCCACGTCTACCATGAGTGCACAGAATGATACTTATTATGCCACTGGGAAGCAGTATCAGAATCATTGCAGCGTTTGAGCTCCTCTTTTTTTTTTTTTCTTTTCTTCTTCAAGTGGGTAGTGACAAGTTTTGGAGATAGTTCTCATGCTCTGGGCCCTAAGAAAGTCATTACTATTCTATAATGTCCTGGCAGCTGTAATTAGTCCTATGTGATGCTCCAGATGGATTAGTGGACACCGAATAAAGATCAAGACTGCGTCATTTTTATCATAAATATTAAACAGAATCATTCAGGTTGGAAAGACCTCTAAGATCATCTAGACCAACCTTTAACCTAGTACTGACAAGTCCATCACTAAACCATGCTACTACGTTCTACATCTACACATTTCTTGAAGACCTCCAGGGACAGTGGCTCAACCACTGCCCTGGGCACCCTGTTCCAATGCCACACAGCCAGTAATTTCAGTCAAGAAATTTCCCAAATATCCAACCTAAATCTCCCCTGGCACAACTTCAAGCCATTTCCCCTCGTCTTATCACTTGGTGCTTGGGGGAAGAGCTTGACCCCCACACCTTGCTACAACCTCCTCCAAGGTAACTGTTACGTACGATAATGTCTCCCCTGAGCCTTCTTTTCTCCAGGCTAAACATCCCCAGCTCCCTCTGCCAGTCCTCATCAGAGTTGTTCTCCAGACCCTTCACCTGCTTCATCGCCCTTCTTCTGACACGCTCCAGCACGTCGATGCCCTTGTAGTGAGGACTAGCTTACTAGTCATAGGCTCGCTTTGAGGCAGTGCAAGTATTTGCCATTTTCTTTCAAAAGGACAGACGTTTTTGGAGGCTGCAATAAGTGCAAAAAGATTAAGTACAAAAACCACTCCCAGCACAGCAAGCTTGGCTCTTCTGTTACTTCTACCCAAAGGCCTATAGTCAGAGATGTGCTCCCGTGAGCTTCACAGCTTTGGCAGGGGTGTGGTGATGTGGAGAGAGTTAACTGATTGGATTCAGTTACTGTCCACAAGAGCTGCTCCACCTTTGTCCCCATTTTCAGAAACATAGGGTTAACGTCAGCTTCCCTGTCAGAAGAGTTTAGAATTGCTATTTTAGATAAGAAAATCAGCTGGTGTTAACCACTGTGCCGAAAAGAGGTACAAATATCAGTGCAGCCTGCTTGGCTTTGTGGGTTTGCGAACTTACTAGTACTATAGTTTCTTTATTACACACCCTAATCAGATGAATAATGGACTTGTCATCAAATGTGTGTTGGGGGGACAAGTACAGCAGAAGATTAAAAAAGAATTAAGAAGATTAAAAAAAAAATTCCTAAGCACGCACTTTGCAAAACAACTGCCACCATTTTCCAATTCAGTGTTCTCAGGTGCCTTCACCTCCCGTCATATAAAAGATGTAAGTCAGAAGCAGGCAAGAAAAGGAGAGAGGGAGCCACTCAGAGGCAGACAGGAAGCCACTTGGCTGCACAGAAAATGGCCTCACCCTTCCCTCTGACTTTCCGTTTTGCTTTTTATTTTTTTTTTCCTTTCCTTATTTGTTTTAAGAGTTCCCTTCCAGTTTCAGTGCTCCTACAAAGAAGGCTGAATGCACTTTGTTAGGCAACACTGATAAATTGCAATGGTTTATCTCAACTAGAGAGGAGTGTCCCAATCAGTCACAACCATAAATGACCTACATAACATGCCTTCAGTTTGGAGATGTATTCCCTAGACCTGCCGTCAAGACGGTGGGTTGCAATAGTAAAATGCATGCATTGCTGTATGTTAAAAATGGTCACGGTAGCAAGGTAAAAGAGCTTTCTCTCTGGAGAAAGTGTGTCTTAGGCAAGTCTGGACGAGAGAAGGAATTTCAGCCCTAGGGAAGAACATACATGGTATCATTCCAAGAATTCATTCAAGGGATGACTTCTGAACCAAAGAAGAAACTAAACAAATGGAATTAAGCTTCCTGATTCCGTATGTTCTGCACTTTTATATCCTTTTGTTCTGCTAAATTTCACTTCTATTACAGAACATCACTCCTCACTACTGTTCATGTTCCAATTTGTTATTCGTTGACTTGCTTTGTACTGTGGACTCATCATTCTACAGTAGCCCTTGTTTAAAAAGAAAACTATCAACATATTAAATGCCAATTCAGTTGTAGACAAGAGCATAAAATATCAATCTACTTAGTCTGTTGTCCCTGTGCAATGGGATCAAAACTAGAAGAGGATTTGCTCAATGTCCCTAAATTAACTAACAAGGTATAAGATTTGTGAAAGCTGTTTTCAAGGGAAGAAGCTCCAGTGACGTATCCCAAGCACACAGGAGATAACAGGATTCCAGTCCCTTGGGGGGATTACAGCTTCTAGCAGAAAACAATGGGGATAAGTGATGGCACGATATAAAAAACAGCACACCACACCTAGGAGAAAGATAACATGGGTCAACTGAGTCCTGGCACTTAAATAGTTCTAAAGCCACTACCTGGCAGCAAAGCAATTGGTGGGAAAAATCACACAAACACACACACACAATCCTAGAAAAAAAGCCCTGAAAAACCTGCAATAATCAGGTCTGAAGGTAGTTTGAGAAGTATCAGATTAAAACTGCTCCTTAGAAGTATGCTATTATAGTAATAGTGTTTCTATCTTATTACTCCTTTCATTACTCACTGTATTGCTTAGATAACATCATCTAGATCAGAGAAAATACTGCCTTGACTTCCTAGCAAAACCAGATACAAATGCAAGATTGAGATCTCTTTGAAAGAGGGAACAATAAAATCTATCAATGGATTAGGAAGCCATCCTCACTACAGTCTGTAGTCATCACAGTAACTAAACCTGGTTTAGTTCTGCTTAGCTCAGAACAGGGAGTCAGAAACAGCACAGCAAAATCAGTTGTTCTGTCCATCGTGGGACTTCTAGGCACATAACTAGTCCTAACTGAACATTGCCTTGATAAAACTGAAGCTAAAATTTGCCAGCTTACATAAAGATTTGGTTCACCTTGTATGCATCATTTATGTTGGAAATTGTATGTTGATGTGATGAGTGTTTATTCAGAGATAATGAGGTAAAACACCCACTTCTCTTTTGTAGTTTCTGAGATAGCCTTCGCTGACTAAAACCCACACTGAATGACTAGGCAAGCGATTCCCTTCTAGTCCTTGTTCAATGAATTCGGATACAATGTGAAGCAATGAGTCCCCCAGCTACACAGTGCTACGTAACACTTCTATGCGTATTGCTAAACTCTGAGCAAATTACTATGCTAAGATGTTATTCTACAAAGTGATTTTTCAAAAGCAGGATTGATCACAGGTAGCGATGATCACAGGTAGAAAAGTTTATTTGTGGGCATTCTTTCCAGTGTTTGCTTAGTCATTGCCATCATTTTCTGCAAAAGTTGAAAAAATACCTTAATTTTATAAATAAGCCTTACTTTTTGAAATATTGAACCCCTCATTACAACTGTTAAACCAGGTACATTGCAGTTCTTGGGACACCTGAAGTGACATTACTAAATACTAAAGCGCCCCATACTGTAGACCGCACTTGAAAAATTGCAAGATAACCTTAATATGTAGGTAGTGCATCTTTCTGGAACAGTACATTGTCCACTGTACAGATATTAGTGAGGGCAGCTTTTCATACAATATCTTGTTTTAAAAATCATAAATAAAGCACTAATGATTCAAGAGGCAAATCCAAACGTATTTTCTCTGAAATGTTTACCAGTAGTTGGTTTTACCAATCAATTATGCTGAGGAGCTGTTATCAACAAGGTTAAGTTTTCTGTATTTTATCTGAGCTGTAAGGAAGCTCAGCTTTGAGGAAAAACACTACAGGCTGGAATATATGACTGTTGCAAGCCATTTCTTGATAAAAACTAAGGAGCTTTGTTTGACGATATGACTAAAGCAGAATAGCACTGGGAAAACTGCCTCAGGAAGTCCACACACAATATAAATCATACTCAGATTTTCCATACTTTTCTAGACACGGGAACTCTTAAAATACCAGACCATGTGACTAGAAGTTCAATACTCAGCAGATAAAGGCTTTGCAGACATATTTCTCAAAACAGACTTGTAAAGTACAAATATCTGTATCTGCATCTACCTCTTCATATACATACATATTTTATAATAGCTCTCTGAAGAACATTCTGTTAATGAAATTTCCTGGACAAATCCAAAGTGAAAGCTAAACTAATTCCCACTAAAAGCTACACGAATCTCACCAGAATTTCCTGTAAGAGAAAAAGATGCTTAACAACAAAGATGCCTCTTTGGCTCTTAAGAGCTTCCCACTCCACTCTTTTCCATGCAGTCAGTTTATTTGTGCATGGATTTTCCTGGAAGTATTCCTACCTTGTTATGACTACAGGCTTGTAAATAATACACATAGAACTCTCCAGGTCAATGCCATTATTATGCAGTAATATATATAAAACTCCTTCGTGCAATGCTTATATATTGCTTATTACAGTGAGATCATATTCTTCATGGAGTTTTACACTATACCATACAGTATAAGTACTGTAGTGATAATGGTATTCATATGTTTTTTCCACCCAGCTTTTTCTTCTTTATATATTGCAACCCTCTAACAAAATACCTGAAAAATTACTTTGAACTCCACACTTGTGTTGTACACTAGTAGGTAGCATTTTTTCCTACATATAAGGACGTGATATCTCCTCATCTTCATTGGTTATATGGCCTGATATGAGGTCAATGTCATAAATAGGAGGCTTTGAGTGAAATGTGGATCAGGATTTTAGATGGAAATATAAGATCTCAGGACAAAAGCACTACCCTCAGAAATTCTTTTGTCTGTTATCTTTGGTAAGGATTTCAAATCTGTTATCATTAATACCAGACAGTAAGCTCACAATTACATTCTTATTGCAACCTTTCCTGAATTTAAATTATGTGGTATGACATATTGATCACTGACAAAGGAAAAAGCACAAACCTTCGCTCACACAATAAGGCTTGGGTCCCAGGAAACATGTCTCCCATCATGCAATCCATTTAGAATTTCAACATCGTCCTCCGCTATTGTAAAATCAAACACCTATGGGAATGCACATAGAGTTAACATCATGAACAGAGAGAGAATCAGGAGTGTTTCCATCATTTAAGTTTGAAGCAGAACGTTTCTATTTTTTTTTTTATCCTTCTGGAAATTATTCTTAGATTTCATCACAGAGAAACATTCTATTAAGCTAACAAGCTCTACTTGGCCCTTTGCTGTCTTTGTGACTCATTTTCATTTGCTGACCCTGTTGAGATGCTTTTGCAGCACTCTGGCCTCAAGCAAGGCTCCAAGACAATGGCAGCACCAAAGCTGTTTTTAACAGCATTCTATATGGTCACGGCCAGAGGTATACAAATACTGACTGCAATCCCTCTGGAAACCTGAGCTCAATATTTTGGTTATATCCAGATGTTCGTTTTAAAAAGTATTACAATTCTTTTCCTCAGAACTTTAGCCAAATAGAATTATTAGAAGGTATAGGAATTTTTATGAAGTTAGCAATCTGAGGTTTTATCCATCTATATCTTTTCTACGTGTACTTAGAGAAAATACTCATGGATCAGCTAATGTAGAAAAAGAGTGCTACAGCTTCTCAGTACCAATGCTGACTTGAAAGCAACCGCCTCTTTTCATGCATTTTGACTAGGAATCATTCAGACTCAAACTAACACACTGGCATGGGTAAACAAAAAAAAAAAAAAAAAGAAGGAATTGTGATAAACAACATCAGACAACTGTAATTCCCCCCCACCCCATCCTAAATGTTTTGAGTTTTGCTGCAATGCAGTCCTTCAGCTGCATTAAATGAATTGGTGAGGCCACAGAATAAAATCTGTAAAACACAGAATTAACTTGGACTTAAAAATATCATCGGGAAAGAAAAAAAAGAGAAGGAGAGATTTTTAACCTGGTTCTGCTCACAATACTTTGCCACAAACAGCTGTGCTTGTACCACAGAAGCAGGGCAGATGTTAGAATAAATAGTCAAGGCAGGAGCTACATAAATAGGCACAGCCACCAGGAGAAAACCTCATTACATGTGTGTTAATTTACACTTAGAGCACATGGACAGTGATTTAACTGACAGTCAGATGTTTGCTGTCTTCTTCTCAATTTACCAAACAGTTCATACTCCTAAAATATTTTTGAAGAGAACAGTAAGTTCGTGGATTCCCCTTCCTCACCGCCCCCCTCCCAAAAGCACACTTTCAGATTACAGAAATGGGGAGAAAATATAAGGAATGACTTAAAATCAGTCAGTATAACAAGGAAAAAAAAAAACAGGGAGATGATGCTGTCAGTCCTCAGTTCCTTCCCACTTCTCTTCGTGCATACCCTACATCCTGTAACCTTCTCTGTAGGTCAGTGGCAAGAAGGTAGGGGAAGAGACAGCTTTGCCAGGACTGACTTCCTTAAGAGGTATCTGGGATATCTCCAACAGAGTTCTGCAGCTTTCATACAGTGCCCTTGTGCTATACAGAGCATACAAGTTCCTTACATTTGATCTATATGCTTATCATAAAAAGAACCTAACCATAACCAGACTAGATTTTCTACTATCACTCAAGTAACAAGTAAAGATATTAATGACAAAAATCAACTATGAAAGTTGATTTTTCAGTATTCAGTAACTCTGTGGGTATCTGTTTTGTACATGGTGGTTAAATTTCCATTGAGTTCTGGCATTTTTGAATTATGTGCATTTTCTTTTTTATATATATAACTTCTTTATTTTTTAAATATACTGTGGTAATTCTAAGCTGCTATAACTTGCTAATTTTAACTGAGTTGCCCTAATATTAAAATGGTATAGGACAACAGATAGACAAACCAAAATATGAAAAACAGTAGTTTGGATATTAGCAAACTTGACTGCATAGCTCAATCTTACCTTGCAGTTTTCCTCTATCCTTTCTGCTTTCGTGGACTTCGGAATAGTCACAATCCCATTCTGAAAAACATAATTATTTTCATCATTAAAATTTACATAGCTTCAAAGAAAATACTCTCTTCAAAATATTTCAAGATGTTCCTCATGCCGTCTGAGGTTTTTCTTCCATTTTTCAAATGACGCGGACATTTCCATAGGTTATTTGTAATCGCAGTTATGTACAGTGCATTAAATTCCAACACAGATTATGTAGTCACTGTAAAACACTATTTCACTGCTCATCCCTTTGTGTTGAGTGACAGAAACAGAATGGTTCCCCCTTACTGTTTATAACTTTTAGTTTGGAAACAGCTCTTTTATTGGTGATTCCTTTCATTCTCTACAACCAGATTATTTGCATATTTAAAATAGTGCCATGGTTTGTGTACTACATTCCAAATTTCCTGGACAATAATTAGTTCATAGCCTATCAATATACTGAAGGCAAGAATATTTTCTTTATAAATTCTGTTTTGAGGCACAATATACCAAACCATTTGCATTTTATTTTTTTCCTGAGAGAGGAGACGGGTTTTTAATTACTACCCTCCAATTACCTGTATACTCCAGCGTATGCAAATCTGTGCTGGAGTTTTGCCATATTTCTTTGCCAGCTGAATGACACTAGGATGAGTGAGTGCTTCACCTTTGGCTAAAGGACAGTAGCCTTCAAAAACAATACCTCTGCTCCTACAGTAATCCACCAGCTCCTGAGGTCGTTGGAAAGGGTGGTACTCAGCCTTAGATAAACAGAAAGAAACTTAGTGAAAACCTTGAAAATACATTTAGTAGAAAACATTGTCTTTGATAAATGAGGATATTTTTACCCTATTGCTTTTAAAATGCAATACAAGTGAAATCACTGCTTTGGAAGATATAAATTATCAGTTTTAGAAGATATATGAAGGATATTAGCCTACAAACATTTTGCCATTAATTGGCACAATAATTTCCTATGCATTGTATGTTTACCACAGAAATAAAGTATGAGTAGTTGTCTTCTCTACCTGCGGTTGGACTTACACTGCTGATCTGCTCAGTGTTTGAGAAATGCATGCAAATACATACTGTGAGTCAGCATTAGGTCATTTTTATGGGTGATTTGGGACTACCTTCTCTTCCCCCAAATTACTTATTTTCTTATCTCTTGGCTGATGTTCTTCTTGGGGCTGCACAGGCAAGGGGAGGAGGCAGGGCTGAGCCTGGGTTTGCAAGACGCTGACCAGAATATGTCTAGGGTGAGGGCCTGACCTGTGAAGCAAAGTGTTGGCACTGACTGCGGATGGAAAATCCTGTATTCCCTGCGTGGCGTCACAGCCAACAACACAGAGGGAAGCAGACGTGCTGCGGAATGAGCAGCTCTGGAGAGCCTTTGCTAGGAAGGCAGATCACAGATTGCCCAGAACCAGTTAAAAGGAGAAAAGGAACAAGCTACAAATACAGCAACTGGAAACAAAAGTTACTGGTACGTAAAGATCTCGAAAAAGCCACTTATTCTGGCACTTAGTGAAAGCCAAAAACAAATCTCTGTAACATTCCTTTCCTCTATTTACTTCAAAAAATATTTCACAGCTTATACGTTGTAAGAAACGCACCTTCCCCTGCATTCAGGTGAAAAGTGGTGGCATTTTCTTTTCTTTTAAAAAGAGAGAGTACATAATCATGTGATGTGCCCTCAGCACAACCAGCCGTCACCGCTGTCCCAGTGATCCAACTCCTGCGCATTTAGGAGAAAAGCACTCGCTTCTGAACAATTACCTCAACACATGGAATCTGGAAAATTTCTTCTGCCATAAAAAGGACAAATGAACATTTCCTGTTTCTCATCTTTAGTACATGTTGTCTTTTCAGACAACAATAGTCAGGAACAATAGGCTGGCAGTCATTCAATACACGCTAAGAAAAAACTGCCCCTCGAAGGCTGGGCTGAGTCAGCCTAAAGCTGCTATGATCTAAATTACTAGGTGGACTCGGGAACAAGGTTCAAGCAGCAGACACATCCATGTCTTCAACCTTTGATGTTTCTTGACCTTTGCGTAGCCTTTGTATTTCATGTTTATATTTGAAAGACCAGTGTTTAGGTCATACAGTTATTCACTCCTTTGCACCTGACCCGACTAGAAAATATTCTCAGTGTTTATTATGCAAAACTGAGGGGGAAAAAAGAGTGAGCAAGCAGTTCCTTTCAGAACACTGATTAACAAAACCCAAAGCAAGCCTAACGTACTTGCTCCTTATCCAACTACACCACAAGACTGAGCATCTTCGAGAAACACCACGTACTCTCCTGGGTAAGTATCATTTTGCACTGAGTATTAGATACAGATACAAAGTGTCTTCAAATGTGTTAATATACTGTGAATATTGGGGTTTCATGGAAGTCTTTGTAAGTATTGTCTATCGCGTGTATTAATAGTAATAATTTTAGAAGAGGTTCTTTACACTAAGTATAATAAGTAACGTTGAAAATACTAAATAAAGAATTATTTATGATCAGATGCTGAAAAATCTGAAGCATCTCTATAGCATCAGGTGCCTTATTCAGCATTTATTACTGATGTGCCTGCAAGCAGCATTTAGCTGCTGGTCTAAAAAGGGTTCTCAGCAGCAGAGCTGCGCCATAAGTACTTAAAGCAAGTAGAGCACGCTGCTGAGTTAGCCGCTTGTTTCACCAACAGGCTGTAAGCAACAGCCACCTCCTGCCTGGGAACGTGATTTGTGCCTTTCGCTGAATCCAGAGACTCCCAGATTTCACGCGCTGAATTTTGTCACACACCTTTGTGTATGGTAGGAGCAAGTATTTTTCTTTTTAAAAGTAATCCTAAAACAATGAAATGCATACAATGAAATAATTACTATTGAATTTATTTTGATTTTGAAACCTTTCTGGAAGATTCCAGCAGCATCTGAGTGCAAGGCGCTAGCATCCTGAGCTGAGCAGGCACAGGGTGGGTGGCCAGTACGCGCTTCCCCTCAAAATAATAATTCCTGCTTCCTGGCCTGCCCCACCCTTGCTATTTTAGTCACCAAGCTTTTCTCAGGCAAGGGCTGTCCGTCATACAGCTGCAAAGGAAGATCTTGGTCTGTTCTGGCACTCTACCCTGAGTGATTTGTGTGTAAAATCTGTCATACATTTAATAAAGGAGTTCGCAGTTCGCGTTACTGAACCCTCCACAGCTGCTACTTGGTCAGCCACAGGGGAACTCCAAGAAAGCACAGATTTTTATGACAGTCGTACCGCAATGGGGGAAAGTTAAGCCTAATACATGGACCTAGACCCTCAGTAGGGCACACGTGACAGTGCACACTTGAGAGTACACGAGCCTTACTCATTCCACCAGATTCATCAGATCTTTTCACCTGGTAGAGCTCTCCTGCATCTGGATTTCAGTCAGCTTCTCGAGGGGAATGCAGACTTACAATTATTTTTCCTCATAAAACTGACATTTAAAATTAGTTGTCTTCATAGAGGAACAGTTCAGGTGAGCTTACATACAAATGCCTCAAAATCCTAAAATACCTTTTTACCTTTTACAAATGTACATAATTGGGCTCAGTATCAACAGTGACATTTAACACATTTAAGTCGCTTCTGCAAATAACTTCTTCATGCAGTACAAAAATATTGATGAGCACCCCTACATAGAATCTGGAGATCAGTTTAGTTTCAGTGAGTTTATCAAGCGAATGTATACATTAATTATTATTTTTCCTACTGAGTAACAGGCACAAGAGGAAGTATTTTCCCTGAGCATAAATACAAGCCTTTCACTGCCAAGTCAATTACAAACTCTAGCATACGAAAATGTAACTTCTAAGCTAAATTTCACTCTACCTGATGCCAGAATAAAATATTTTTAATGGTTTTACTTAGAGCATTTGACAGTAGTTTTAGTAGTAAGTCATAATTTTAAAAACTGCTTAATTACTACTGAATACATTAGAAAGAGTATATTCTCGAAAAGACAGCTCTTTCCTACTTTGGTTCATCCTACCTTATTGAGGAACGTATGTTTTTCCCCAAGAAGAGAAGCAGTGCTTACAACTTGGCTCGTTAAACAGAAGCACTGCTTTCTACCTAGTTTGTGATGACTACAAAAAGTCTAATGAAGCACCTCATTTCTCCGGCCTTCCTACTTCCTTCTCTTCATAGAATAAATCGGTTTTAACATCCTAAGAACTGTTGGAGCTGCAACACTAAATTTGTTATGCAAATTTAAAACAGGTAATAGGAAGTGATTTTCCTTCATTTCTACATAATGACTGCTTGCAAATGTTTTGTATTTAAGAGATCAGTTCACTGAAAGACTAGGCTACCTCAGGCATAACTACAGCAAAGATCTTCTGTAAGCAATGGACAATAAAATAAGAATTGAGTATAGCGCTTCCATGCTCAACTTAAATTTAAGAATTCATTAGAAAACTTTCGTAATTGCCCTTTGGTAACCTTTAGACTAGTCAGCAAAACCCCAGAGATGTTAAGTTCTGTCACATTCTGAGCCACCTTTTTGTGCCTGTTTATGACATTACACCATGAAATGCTGCCAAAAATCCTTAACACCTGCAGAAAAGGAAAAAGCACGTGTCTGCACTTCAGCCATTCCAGCTCACAGTTCTGTGTTAGCTTTAAGAACATTTCCACTGGCAGTAGGTGGTAGGAACTGAAGCATGAACTTCTACCACAGCTGCAACAAGGGAAGAGCTGTCAGCATGCTGGAAGTCTGCCGGAATGTAGGTGGCAATCACTGAATTTAATGCAATCTTTTTGATTAAAATAAGGAGAGACCAAGGGGAACAGCACCCTTGTATGGATACAGAATCACCTAAGTCTTTCAGTGTTGCTTAGAGGAATTACATTTAGTATTTCAACACATGATCTCCAAAACTTTGTTAACTCTGCAGACACTAAACATTTAGTGCTACCTGAATTTTATTTCTAAACTGTTTTATCATCAAAAACTGGTGCGCTGACCATTTGTTTGTGCCTTAACACCAGTCACAAACAAGCTGCCTGGCAAAAACTGGGGAAATAAAAGGACAAAGGACGTAATTATTATTATTTCTTTCCAATTCAGGTCATCTTCCTGAATGGTTTCCAATATCTGTATAGAAATGAAAGAGAAGAAATTGCAGAGTAAAGCTGATTATGTGTAGTCTTTCAGGCACAGGGCTGTGGAGGAGTGAGTGGATTAGTAACCAGATACTTTAACTCTATTTCTCCACTCACCTGATTAACATGTGGAGTAACCACACAGTCTTCCTTTAGTTGCTCAAGATGACTGATAAGAAAGTTGCTTACGCCAATTGACCTACACAAACCTAACAAGAGAAACAGAAAAAAAAGTGTTGGGATGATCTTAACTACCTAGAAGGATTACTTGAAAAATACCACTTTCAAAAAAGAAAATGATTGGTACAGATCATTTCTGTAGAGCAAAACACTGCAAAGAAACAGAAAACAGCACTGAAATGTAGTTTGACGGTATTATCTGAAAGCATGGTTTCGTCACAGCCACACTAGGAAATCATTTTATAATCTAAACACACTGGAAACTCCCCAGTGTATAAAAACGCCAGGCTAAATTCTGGGAAAGGCTAATGTAGTATAAGCAAAGAACAATTGGACTTCACCAGAATGAAAAGAAGGAAATGGTGTTCTGAGCAGCTTGCCAAAGCTAAAGAAAAGTGGAACATTTGCAGAAGACTAATAAGGTGTGAGCAATAAAACACAAGGACGTGCAGCCCAAATGAACTACATAACCCCACTTATATTTTCATTAGCTTATTGCTATTAAAGAGACATTAAATAAAACTAAGTATAACAACTTTAAGTAGTGTCTAACAAGAATTAAGAAGTTCAAAAGTGTAGGAAGTAGAATCTGCATAAGAATGGCTAGATTTCTCTGCTCCTGTAGACACACAAATCAAATGACACATAGGTGATAATGAAAGCTTTTTTTGTTTTTACCTTAACTGTGTATATATGTGAATTAAGTGCTGACAGTTCTGAAATCAGATGTCTTCCTTCAAACCTCAGGTATGATAGAGTGCAACTCCCATTATAGGCCTGTCACAATACCTCAAACCCAACTACTCCTTGACAATTTGGTCCCTATTCTGTGCTAAACACAGTTAACAGGGCAAACAGTTGTCATCAGGCTAGTAGAGTTCCCCTTAGGCTGTAGATTCTGCAGATTATGGCTCAGGCTTATTTCTTTAAGAAGTGAACTTTGGCTTGACTTGATCTGCATTTCAACCTGTAACTCTGCAGACGGAAAGTGCCTCAAGTTGTGTGAACATCAGAGTCCTAGCATTTCTCCTGGCCAATTCTATACTGTGTACACGTATATCCTCCTCCATATACATACATACAAATAGCTGTAGCAAAAAAAAAAAAAAAAAAAGGAATTAAGATGAAAGTTATATATTTTTATTTATTTATTAGAAAAAGAAGATGCTACTTGGTAACTTCAGGCATTTGGTGTCACAGAAATGACTTCTGGACTGAAATTGCCATTGTCTTGAGGTTGACAGGGAGCTATAGGGAGTACCTTTGATATTGAAGCGCTAATACAGAACACATAAAAAGCACATATTAATGAAACTGAAGTGCATGAATAATTTAAAAGGAGTAATTTTGCTTATCTAGAATAAAGGTGATGAAAAAGTTGGAGGAAAATGTATTAACCATTCCTAAACTATTCAGAAAATGTACATGTGTTTTATCAATAAAAAAGTAACATGCTTAGAGACTATGAATTAGCATGTAAAAATTTTGCAGGTTAGATTTGCTCTAGCAAAATAAAGAAATTAAAATTTTCCAGCCTTCTCCTATGAAGTTTAGTAAGTAAAGTTACAGCTTGCTAATTATTAGAAACACACTGTTAAAGTCCTTAAAAAGCAAAACAAAACTTGTGTTACACCATATAAACATAGGTAAATTGCTGCTGTGTTGCTTTCATATGTTTTAGCAGTAGAAGCAGATAAGCAGCACAACAGCAAAACCTGCATGCATACTACTGCTTTTTAATGTGGTTTCTTTTGTAGAACACAAGGACAAAAAAATACATTAGCAATTGAAGTGCTAGACAGCTTTCACTTACAGAAATGATCACTGTTCAAGATGTTTAACATAATTAGGTTATAACCTGCATTACAGCAATTTGCATAATTTGTATGTAATCTGCCAGAAGGAGCGAAACCCAAGCTTTTGATTTCTACTGACAAACAACCCTGGAGTGTCAACACTAATAAATCATTATGCCAAAGAAATGAGAAAAACATTTGCAGTTTTAACACAATGGTGAACCAAAATATTATACACAATTGTTGAAAGCCAAGGAGTTACAAGAAACATACTGTTACTGCCCTTGAAGAATAAAGCTTTTATTTCAGGCTGAAATAAAACAAACCTCAAACACAGACATGAACGATGAAAGCTTTTATTAAACTCGTCCATTCCCACAAAATCTTCAATTTATTTTTTTTTCCCCTATAGTATATTTCAAGATGTTTTGCTCTTAACAGACCTTGAAGCCTGTTCTGTAGTCTCACTGCATTTACTGATAGGAAGCTTTTGATTGACTTCCAATCAAGAAATTCCACGTTAGTTATGTTTTATACCATAACAGTTTGCGTCATAAGTCTCAAAAACACCAGAATACCAGAATGCTCCTGAAATGTGTGTGCGTGTGTGTGTTGGGGGGGGGGGGAATGGGGGGTAGTACTTATTTCCAATTTTATACCTGTTTAAAGAGCTTAGAAATCCCATTTCAAAGAATTCAGGCAGATTTCATATCTTAGTTGTTATGACAACATCCTTTTAACAAAATCAATTTAACTAGTCCTAAAGTTAAAGTCCTCTGAAATAAAAGTTTACAATATGCTAGCTGCAATAGCTCTGGAAAGTACACTTTTACAAGATATATCTATGCTATCTTTCTTACAAAGTCACAGCACTTCAACTCGAGAAAAGTATTTCCTCAAGCAGATAAGGAAGATGAGTGGTTTGGCCCCAGGAAGATTTTGAGAAACTACCATGTGCAACAAGTTTGCAATTCCCCATTAGTTCCTAAGGCTGTTGAGTCTTTGCCCTACTCCCCGTGGCTCTGACTTCAAGGAAAATTTGGCAATGATGCTTCTTTTATGTATGCTAAAAATTGATTGGCCAATGCACAATGGTGGAACAGAAATTTTCAGCCAGCTTTGAAAAACCGTCACGTAACTCTGTACGACACGTTAGAAAACATATTGGCCCTCAATATAATGGTTAATAATAATGAGGAAAAAAATCTATTTTCCATTACACACAAAAAATAATCTGGGCTGCCACCATGCAGGTACTTTCACCACACTATTTTACCCCCAGCTGCTAATGGACGGGCTTGCAGTGGAGCCGTGTTGTTTAGCTCACAGCAGTTTTTATGGCAACCTAGAAAATGATTGGGTATTTTTTTCTTTCCTTAGTATAATACTAAATTGTACCAAGTTTCATGGACACTACTAACCTTGCAACAATACAGCATAAATATACTGTCTTGGCACCATAACACTGCTTTAGTACAATAGTGAGCCTTATCTTTCCCAAGCACTACTGTGGACTTTTACCAAACTTCTAAATGCTCTCTAACATCAGCTGTACAAAGTTCAGATCAAAAAGGTTCTTTAAATGACAAAATTGGATACTGGGTTTGTGGGGCCAACTTTCCTCCCCCTCCCTGCAGCCAGAGCACGGGCAAATTCCCACATCCGCAGAACAGTGCCCGCTCTGTTCCACGTGGGCCACAGAATGCACACAAACAGGGAGCCACTTCTCACAGGAGGTCAGCTGCAGCACCTGCATCTTTATTAAAGGAGGTTACACAGGTTGGAAAGGTCCACATCCTCTGTGATATGCACATTAAGAACTTCTCTGTAGGCAAATGGTATTACTCAAAAACCATAAAGGGTGTGATTTCAGCACTGCTTGCTAAATCCAAGCTGTAGGCTGAGTGTGTCCCACATACAGAGTGCAAGCCAGAGCCTTAATAAACAAAACAGACAACTCTTACACACATCCAAAAAGGAATTAATTTCTAGATCTGTAAGACTTGCTTCCATTTCACAGGCGTAGACACCAAAACACTAAGTGTCCTATCTAATGACACACAGGAAGACTGTGGCAAAACTGATGACAAGACCCATTTCTTAACTGAAAAAAAAAATCATGCTTCCTTCCCCAAAGGATGTTTTTATCCTATCCATTACTGTAGCATCGGAGTATTACCAGCCTTAAAATGACTTTCCTGCTTCTACAATTCCATGAGTATTACTCCTGCTGCAAATCACCTACGAACCACGACAAACTGCAAGACCAAAAAAGAAGCATGAGTAGAAGTCAACTTGTCAGTTTCTGTGACTGAAATCTCATAAACATTTGGTTTACACAACAGTAAAGTAGCTAATTAAGTAGCATGATGCAGCAACACGAGCTAAATGTATTCTCAGTCTTGTTGATTCTGGCTGCTCATCTTCATTACTTCAGTGCAACATCACCTCATTTATACTGACATGCTTTGCTCTGGAGTTGGCATTACACACCAGATCAGATTAAAAGTGCTACCAAAAAGGGTGTTCATCTGATTGTCTTCAAAACTGAATCAGTTCCCTTGTGCTTTGATGGACTCTTCCTTCTCTCGTGGCAGTTTTAAGCATGTAGAATAATACTGGGTGCAGAACACCGCCTAAAAAATAGGCTTAAAGATATTTTTATGTCAAGAACATTCTGAAGCCCCTGTTAAAAGCAACTGCTTGTGAACGAACAATTGGGCAGACAGACCTGTAAAAACAACTTGGTACAGAAACAATCCCACTATAGCTTGAGGCAGTATTGCCACCACACACTGTGCTGTGAAAACGGGGTCAGCACTATCAGCAACCCAGCTGATCCATGGCTCAGCCTGCAAACACTCTTAAAATGAGCACTTAGAAAGTAGCGTGGACACAACACAGTTGGGTTCTAAACAGACTTTGTTTCACCTGTAACTGCGATGGCACTGTTTCCCGAACTAGGATATTTTGGGACTTCAATATTAGAGAAGACAATGATTCCCAGCCGACACAAGTAACAACAGCCTCACCCATACCAATTAAACAACACCAATTTACGATTGCTAAAGTCTAATACCTTGGGTTCAGGTTCATTTGCTGAGCAGGTAAGTGACACCTTTTCCCCAAATCATGTATGTTACTTCCTGAGACAAAAGTCCTTTTGGGCAAGGACTTTCCTTTGAATTGCATTTCAGCAGTGCTTTCCCAAGAGTTCTTGTGTTCACACTGGG